TTTATTTACTTCCCCTCCTTTTCCCTTTCTTGCATTTCATAGACTGCATAAGTTGGAAATACCCACACTTCACACACTACAACCTCGTTAAACACTCTATATCCTTTTAATGTCATGTAACTGTTGTCTTGTCTTGTCTCCCATGTTCGGTCCTGTTTTGTTAATGTGTTACTTTGTTTCAATAAAATAAAGTAAAAAAAACACAAAAAAGAAGAAAACAAAGAAAAAGCCGGCATTGGAGAGTGGAACGCGCAAACACGTCCACCTCAGTGGGTGCCATGTTTATTCTAAAACATGAAGCAATGTTTAGAGCAAAACTGTCTCTGTATCAAGCCTTTTTAATCCCTTGGGCCTTGTTTGCATTTTAAATGCAACTTGTTTAAAAGAGGGTGGTACAGGTATGTCATTTATTAAAAGATAATTTGTTTTCTTGTGGTTTTCTTGAAGGTGACGGCATGGCTCTTGTTATTTTTTACCTCTGTGAGAGCAAAAGAGCAAGAGGGAGGTAAATGGGTTCAACCTAAGTGTTCTTTGTGTCAATAACTAATCCGCAAAGATGAAGCCTCTTATAGCAGGACAGCGCTGGTTTGTTTGTGTGTGGAAACACTGGTAAGTTGCGTAAATATTAACCTGCAATTGCATACGCTTAAGAAAGTAATGATAAATGTAAACAAAGAAATACGCAAGTCTAATTCTTGATAATTTTATTTATAATGTTGTTTTACTAAAATTCAACTTAGGTCCTTTTGCTGCTACTTTCACCAAGGAAATGTAAGAAAACCACATTAAAACACAAAATATTAGGTAAGACTTTTTCCTGCCTTCACTATGAGGTAAGATATGAGGTAAGACAGCTGGCAGTAATATGTGTATTAGTCCATGTTTGTGCATAAATTAAGTTGTATGCAAAAATGTGTTTTCGCAAATTGTTGTATAAGTCAAATGCTATATTAAATATGTAGTGTGTATTTTGCCTGTGAGTTACAAATTCAAGAAATTACAAATAAGTGAAACCCTTGGCTTGTGCTTTCCTCAATATGAATATGAATTTACAGCAGTGACCTGACTGAAATAGGTCACGGGGTCACAGGAATATTGCACTGAGCAGAAGATACATTGAAGTCAAAGTGTTTATTTGTCATAT